ACCAAACTGTACATTTTTGCCATATTTTACTGTTTTACTTCCATAAAGGGAAGAACGCGCATCAAGCTTGTGAAAAGTTGCATAAAATTTACAGTGACAATGCTCTACAAGAACGTCAGTGCCAATAATGTTTCATGAAATTCCGTGCTGGTGATTTTGATCTCAACGACACTCCTCGGGTCAGGGAGGCCCACCGTTGATGTTGATGGAAGTTGATGACGACAAAATAAAAGCATTGATCGAGTCAAACCCATGTTACACGACATGAGAGATTGCAGAAACATTGAACATCCATCATGCAAGTGTTCACGACCACCTGAAGAAGTTGGGATAAGAAAGAAAGCTCGATATTTTGGTTCCACAGGAACTCAAAGAAGCTTATTTGATGGCGGGTATAAATATCTGCAATATGCTCATTAAATGTGAGGAAAACGATCCTTTTTTGAAGTGACTGATAGCTGGTGATGAGAAGTGGATTATTTACAACAATGTGGTGTGCAAACAGTCTTGGTTCCGATGTGATGATTTGCCTCAAACAATATCGAAAGCAGACATTCATCAGAGGAAGGTTATGCTCTCACTGCTGGGATTTTAAAGGTGTCGTGTTTTTCGAGCTCCTACCAAGGAACCAAACAATTCGAATGTGTAATGTCGGCAATTGGACATTTTGAATGAATCCATCATCCAGAAACCTCCAGAGCTTGTTAATTGTAAAGGAGTTGTGTTCCATCACGACAACACGAGACCACACACAAGTTTGATCACCTGTCAAAAATTATTGGCGCTTGGAAGGGATGTGTTGCCACACCCACCATACTCGCCTGACCTTGCGCCGTCAGACTTCTACTTGTTTCGCTCTCTTAAAAACTCCTTGTGTGGCATAACGTTCAATTCAGATGAGGCTGTAAATCAGCACCCTGTTCAGTTTTTTGCAAATAAAGACAGGTCCTTCTATGAACAAGGCATTATGAAGCTCACTGAAAGATGGCAAAAGGTTATCGAACAAAACAGGCAATATATCACCGATTGATCTTTGTTCTTTATATAAATAAATGACCTTTGAAAAACATAGACAAAATACGTTATGACTTTTCCAAAGACCCAATATTTGTCACCCTTGTTCTGATCTGTTGATTGCTATTTCTTCAGGAAAAAAGTTAAATTTCAAATGTTGATGTGACTACATGGACTGTTAGCCAGATGAGAAGATACTCTAGCACCTGAGCAGTCTTCTCTGATATACTTCTTTGTGAAGCCCAGGAAGTTAGGATCTTCAAGCTCTAGCTCTAGCCCTCGCTGCACGAGCCAGTTTCTGTGAGAAATGCCCTGGGCACGTGTTGAGAACTCATGAGCTCAGCAGACAAAGATATGATGTTAGGACAGAATAATCCAGAACAGTTGTACAAGCTGAAATAAATGTAAAAACTGAACCAGATGGTCCCGAAATGCTCCTAGTACAGTCTGTGTCTGCCCGATAGCTTAAGGCAGCCACGAGAGCACAGGTGCCCTGGGGCTGGCCATTGGGAACACCAACAGTTGACTCATCTCTTTGGTGATGCTTTTTCCCAGTCATGTTCAGTAACTCAGTTTGAGCCAGGCCAGCTCATCTGTGGCTGATCTTCCAATCTGGAATTTTCTCCACTACATGAGTATGCTCACCATACCC